CTGATCATGATGAGTGGTGTAGCCAGAAAATTGGAGAGGACGGAAAAATGCTATCATATCAGAAAAATATATCACCATCGGGCTTTTCACTAATGCCATGTTTGTTGGAAGAATTACAGGTCACTCACTCCAAGCTGGTGGTTCCATTTCACAGAATGCACTGGCAGAGCTAAACTGCATATTGTTGTTGTATGACCGATGAAAATGTACATAAATAATATTTTCTTCTCCAGCTTGAAATATTGACGTCTATGTCGCTGGCTGCAGTGCTCCTTTGATAAAGACATTAGCTTGCCCTGGTACTTTGAGTAAGCGGTCATCTGGCCGACGAGAGGTCGGTGTGGGCAGCGACGCGCCTGACAGAGGCTCCGTTTTCAAATATATGCACAAGCAGGTGCTGAACTTAAACACGTGTTTCTGCTTTCTACTGACACTGATTCTGGTGGGCGAACGTACTCGATGGTCAAGCCAGAAGGCCATGTGTGCCCAGGGTCACTTATGGCATAAGCACAGCTTGAGACGTCGCGTGTTGTAAATGTAGCAAATGCTTGCTTGATTATGTTTAACCAGGAATAGCTGACAATTACAGTTTTTTTTTTTGTTGCCAGCATAAGGATTCCCCACTCATCGGCAATGCCGAAAAATCAGAACACTTACAGCTATTGCTTGCATAAGACGGTAGTAATAGCCTTCTTCTTCGAAAAAGACCGGGAGCCTGTATATATAGATGGATTATATCGGTTTTCACATGCCCTTATCAAACAATGGCAGAATAACGGTCTTATCTATGCGAATAATGTTCCTCACAAACGCGCTTAACAAGCTTTATCTTGCTTATATAAAGTAGTCCTGTAGCAATGGGTCTTACACATGTACTCCACAGTCATAGGGAGGATGGAGGCCCAGCATTACTGACTATCAAAGCAAAATTTTCCTCGCAAATTGCACTAACAACTACTTATCTTGCTTATTCAGAGACTCCATGTAACAAGGCTGTCTTACACATGTAACTCCACAGTCACAGAGGATGGAGGGACAGCATTACGACTCACCAGAGTCTCAATATAATGCTGGTAGTAAGCAGTCCCATGGAGACCTCTATGTGCCACTGATCCAAAGCGAGAGAGAGGACTGAATTCCTCCCTTGAGCCACTCCTCATACTTGTTTGCTGTCGACATTTTGTTTTCGGGCCGATCCTTTTACATTTCTGGTCAATAGAAAATGCGTTTACTCTGCCATGAAGTCGCCAATGAATATTCAGAATACACTCGATTATCCTCATCATTCATACTACATTTCCACACTCGGCGAGGTTTCGAGCATAGCCATTCATCAAATCCAAAACAACTAAAACAAAAACGCATGAGTGGCGAATTCTGGATCAAGCCATGCCAACTGGCGGCCCGGAGCTGCTCTCTCCTGCTCCGTCACTGTTCGCCGGCAGACGTGCGTTTTGTCATGCTGTCGGCGCCGTGACGCCAACCACCGGACAGGAGGCGCCCGCTGAGTCGCGGTCGATACGTCCCAGCAGCCAATCAGAGGCCGCCCTGGCAGGCTCCGCCCACTGGCCGGCCGCTGGGCGGGGCGCACGCACCGGGACCAATGGCGCCCGCGGCCCTCCAGGACCCCATTAGTCAAGCGGACGACCGGGCGCCTCTGGAAGTGTGGCATCGGGGTCGTTGTGCGTGGCGACTGGCCGGTTGTGCGCGCTCGGCTCGTTCTCGGTGTCGGCGTGGCTCGGGTCGGAGAGCGGCGCTAGGGCGGTCCGCCATGGTCCAGGAGGCGCTGGAGGCCCTGCGGATGCGACGGCGACTCACAGTGAGTACTGACCGGATGACGCGGCGGGAACGGGGCAGACGTCCCACGCGTCCAATGGAACGGTATTGCGTGTGTTCCCGGTAGGGGTTCGCTGTGAGGTGTGAGTCAGCCAGGGCAGATCCGGCATCAGATCTTGAGTGGGACAACCCTTGCGTAGGCCTGCGTCTTTACGGATGTTCAGTCTTCTGGATATTGAACATGGCAGGCATTGCCCGTAGCATGTCCCCCCCCCCCCCCCCCATCCCACCCACCCATTATCCTAGTCCTTTTTTAAAGCGAGAAGGGCAGCAGTTCGTTCAATACTGCTTTTAAAAACTCCAGTTTTCACCGCTTCTCTCGATTAGTTTCATGAGGTTTTGCTTATGAGCAAAAAAATCAAGTTTGGTGCCCTAGCTTTCTTACTCCAGGCCTAAAGAAGCAAGATTGAATTGCGAAGGTCCATGACCTCATCACCTGCTGCCCCCCCCCCCTTCCCCTCCCCTCCGGTTGTGCCGGGTCTCTATGATAACCAGGTTGTTGACAGGTCCTTCAGGGGGGGGGGGGGGCGGGGCCGGAGAATTATATCTGTGTTGGCCACTCCCATCAATTAATAAATTTCTAGTCTTCATTGGCAAAGGAGCCGCGTGCAAGAGGAGGAGCACTTGCCCTCACCAGATTGCGAGAACACTGCATGGTTGTTGGCTAGCCTGTCATCGTAAAGCAAGAGCAAAGCAGTGACCCACCAGTTTCCGAACTTTTTATATACATCCCAAACCAGAAACTCTCTAAAATAAAAAATAACGACAAAACAAGTCTCAGGTTCTGAACATGACAATCAAGACAGGCATGATCTTCGTTAATCCAGAGCAGAAGGACTCAACTGAAAACCGATTTTTGGTAGTGTTCTTATTAGCTACGCCCACTGAAAGTCACATGATGTTGATTTTGCAGTCCATGTCTTTGAAAGTCACAAACTTTACCACGTCGCCTACATGGTCTTAACACATAACACCCGTCCTTAACCTTCAGCTGCGTGATCTAAACACATGAATCCATCCTTAACACACCGACAAATTGTGGGCTACTGTAATTTCTTGGGGTTAAGTATTCGCACAAAGAAGGAGTGGTGTCTTGTCGTGACTCCTCGCCCTCAGCCTGTGCTCAGTATCGCTGTGCCCCAGAGTTCGCTGAAGCCGGCCCAGTATGCTATTCTGATACTGCAGCACGCAGCGCAGCCAGCAATAAAGGTGTTCGATGCCTCTGCTTACCAATGTTTGGGCAAATATCCATTTAAATAGAATATGACAGACAGACCTGTATACCAATGAGGTAATGATTCTGTCTTCGCCCTATCGCTGCATTTACCCGTTTCACTGACCGCGTTGAGAGCGCGAGGAGGCTATGCTTGGCTCACAGCAAGTGTCACTTGTGTTTAGAAAATTAAGGGCGAGCAGCTTGCGTTGCCTAGCAGAGGAGACCGCAACTCGCTGACCAGCAACTCGCTGACCGTGTTGATTCCTCGTGTTGTTGATCTTTGTCCTGATGCACGGGTCCCGCGACCCCCGAAGGCTTTTCGCCAATATTCACTTAGCAAGGGTTATAGTCGTGCCCATATTTCCAGTAGCCTCTGGAGCATTCATTGCTCATGTTTTGACTTAAGAACGTAACTCTAACCCTTCTGTTTTTCTAAGATGTTTATTTGGGGAGTACTGCACGGCAGTCTTCTAGCGTCAAGCACGGTGGTGGGCAACCGATGCATTCGCCGATCAGGGGGGCCGATACCAAACTTGGATCTACGAAGCACCCATCCTCAATGTTTTGGTCAAAACACACAAAAGTATATGCGTCTGTACTCCAAATTATAGAAGCGAGACCTTCGTAGAAGCTTCACGTCGCCACATTGCATGGCTGCGTAAACAGTAAAGCGCAAACCTGGGCTTGCCCGATCTTCTGGAAGAATTCAGCTTTGACTTGGCATAGCGGGATTAATAGTTATCGACCTGGTAACACGAAACCAATCGCAAGATCTTGCTGAGCCCAATTCACTGTTTGTTTTTGTTCTGCGAGGCTCAGGCCTTATTAGTTTGGAAATGGTAGGGGTCATATCGATTGCCCCATCCGTTTGCGTTATAATGAACGGCGGATCCGGGCGAGAGTTAACTGATTGCTTCGGGCAGAGTTCGAGGCAAGCGTTGAATCAGTCTCACACCGAACACGAGTCTGGTAATAACGAAGGGAATTGAACCATGAGTGAGATAGGGGCAAAGGAACTTCCAAAACAGCTGGAAGCAGGGGCTACTCTTCTATCTATCATTACCGTGAAGCCTCTTCTTCTTATTCAATCTTCCGAAAGCTGGAGAAAACTTTCCCCTACCCCTGCTCCTACGTCTATGCAAAAACTGATCGGCCTGGCCTCTAAGTCCGACCAACGTGCCTCACAAAGGCCTTCGCTCCTTTCCACCATTCATAGCATCAGCACGCAGTTTCAAGAAACAAGAAACACAGTCTTCATACAAGTGTGACGTTTCAAGGCATTTAAATACAGGCTGTTTACCTGCAATATCGACGTCCCTTAAAATGTAGCCCTCATCATTTCAATTGCTCATGGAGCGTAAAATATTTGTATTAGGAGGAGCTTCCACAACACGGACGAGAACGACACAGACTCACCACGCAGCATCGGGAGGGCGCGAAGCCAACACCGTTTGAAGGGAAGAGGGTGGACAGTCGTACTGGCAAACTGGGCAGGCGATGCGTACGGCCGGCCGCGCGCGGACGAGCGCAAACTGCGCACCCGACCACGCTTGGGGCGTGTTTAGGGGTTAGTGTTACACCTTGGCAACCAGGATGCATAAAGAGGCAAGCTTTACGGCGTAGGCGAATGTGCTTCTACGCTATCCGACCTCAACAATGTCTGACCAATGGGTTTGCCCGTGGTCAGACGGGTAGCGGTCGATGTCGTCATCTCCGAACATGGTCTCTCATGAAGCACGTGGTGGCTTATGGGAGAGAGACTGGCACATTTAAACTGCGGTGGCACCTAGTCAGGTTCAATGTTATCGGTATTTAACCAACATATTCACGTTTTGTGTGCTCCTTTCATAACAGCCGTTATAGCCGTGAAACTTCCCGAATTTATTAATATCGTGGACTGGAATAGCGAGACGTGGCCGAACCCAGAATTTTCAGATGGTATGATTCATGGTCTAGCTCGCTAACACTATGTCAGTGAACACATGCGATTCAAACATTCATGAAGACAAATTTTTGAATGCGCTGATCATGGGGATCGTCCGTATGGCTTCCCATTGGTGACCCTCTCTGTCAGCTTGGGTTTTGGGGCTACCTATGTGATGGTAACTGATACTTTCCATGTGTATCGACTCATCGGCTGTGCATTGATGTTCGTGTTTTGCATTGTCATGCCATGAAAAAGCGACGAAACTTGTGGCCTTCTGGGACTGGTGTGCTGCGCTTTCCAGAAGCTAGTAGTTTTACAGTCGCTAACGGTGACGTTGAGCGCTTCTCAGCAGCTCACTCAGCAGCTCGCTTCGTCAAAGTTGCGCTCTATCAGTTAAAGGACAATTGCACCTTAACTGCTTGCTATAGCTGTCGGTTTCCTGCAATATTGATATTTAAAAAGAACAGCGAAGTGACGCCTCAATCAACGCAATACAAGTGAAATTTTCTTATCGCATTAAGCCACCCAACATTAGTTGAAACCGGACCCAGATTTCGAGGATCCAGAATCGCAGCAGCACGAAACACACACCGTTTGACGACACAACGACATGTTTCGTCGTTTATCAGGAAAAGGTGACATTGGCCAGCACTGGTAAGACTAAGTTAATGTCTCTGGTTTTCGAGCCGGTCTCCAAGACCACATACGGCGGCCCCGCCTGGACCGAGGTGGTTCGGGAGATGAAAGTCACAAAGGCGTGTTGCCCGATGTCCCGGCGGCTATTAACCAACCGCAATCGGGGTGCATTGCTTGTTTGTCGACCTATCAGCCGAAATGGTGAGCTTCGCCAAACCCACAGCAAATTAGCTTGAGATAAGACAATTTGGGAAAGACTGCGCACGCTATACCAATGAACATCGTTCTATTCAACTGCCACGAAAGATGGACTTACAAATGCATTGATGGCACGCTAACGTGTAAACATAACATAGACATATGCATAACCTTTTTTACCTCAGGTGTTGGTAGCGTCTACATAAACTGTGTCTGTACAGCCCTATGTGTCCTGCGCCGCACACTATGCATTACTGGATTGTGACACGCATAGGAGTGTATCTGCTACACCCATAATATGACGGTATGTCCAGTCCAATCCACCACATACACTGATCCCTTCATATTAATCTTCGGAGTCTTCATTCATCTTTATCGCCTGAGTTATTTTTCTTCCGCTGCATGCGTCTGTTGAGCACCTATTGGAATTATTGTCACGTATCGGCTTAACCCGATAGCGGATTCGTTAAGAGTTCTTAACGAAACACGTGCATGATGGCAAATAAAGTGCAGAATATGACAATATGCTGTACCTGGAAAGGAAAGCCCACACAAATGTAGGCACAAGGCACAGCAATAACGCGCTTTGAATCCACCTTTACCCCTCCCCGGCCCCAAGAAAAAATCGTGATAACAGATTTGCAGCCAGGAGCGTAGTTTCGCAAAATAGATCGATGTGGGGGGAGGGGGGGGGGGGGCTAGAAAGGTAAAATGACTATACCTGCCCTTAAAATGCCGAAAAGGGTGTTCTCCCCGGATTTGACCTGCTGTCTTCTTAAAATTGGGAGGCTGCCCACCTCCCCTGTCCAGATAAAAATAAACCTACACCGCTGCCAGTGGCGTCTCTGCAGTACTACCAGACAGACAGCAGCCGACCAGGATCCAGTGACTTATTACCACTGTGCTGCAAGGCCACTGCCCGGTTTAAATCCTGCTGCACCTCCCAGTGCCGTGACTGAGGGCTGTGTTTTTGGCTCGGCCCGTCCCACTGAGTTGATCCGCGACAGCAAATGGCTTGTGAGCAAGTGGAAGATTGGCCGCTGCATACACCTGTGTTCTTTCAACTGGGCCTTCTCCTGTGACGCAGGCCGACTAGGATCCAGTGATGCACGCAGGCCGCTGTCCCGAATGTCTGCTGTGAAGCCCTCTGTCCCGGATGTCTGATGTGAAGGCTGCTCTCCCGGATGTGTGTTGTAAAGGCTGCTCTCCCGGATGTCCGTTGTGAAGGCTGCTCTCCCGGATGCCTGATGTGAAGGCTGCTCCTTCGGATGTGTGTTGTAAAGGCTGCTCTCCCAGATGTCTGCTGTGAAGGCTGCTCTCCCGGATGTCCGTTGTGAAGGCTGCTCTCCCGGATGCCTGATGTGAAGGCTGCTCTCCCGGATGTGTGTTGTAAAGGCTGCTCTCCCGGATGTCCGTTGTGAAGGCTGCTGTCCCGGATGTCCGTTGTGAAGGCTGCTCTCTCGGATGTTCGTTGTGAAGGCTGCTCTCCCAGATGTGTGTTGTAAAGGCTGCTGTAGGCACAGGCTGCACAAAGGCTGTCCGTTGTGAAGGCTGCTCTCCTGGATGTCTGCTGTGAAGGCTGCTGTCCGAGATGTCTGCTGTGAAGGCTGTGCTGCCTGATGTGTTTTGGTCCGTTGACAAGACTGGCAGCTTCGAATGGAATCCGCCAGAGATGTGTTTGCAATTATGTGTCTATGGAATTACGGTGTGCTGCTCCAAGCTTCCCGTGGGATCCGGGGCCACATGTTTGAGCCGGCCAATGCCGCTGTGCCAGCGCCTCATTGTTTTCCCACGCATGCTTTCCAGCCACGTTCAATCCCATTTCAGCCGTCGTCTGGTCTTAGCCCAGTTTTAGCTTATGGTGCCGGAATATGTTTCAATGCTTATAGGTACGAATAATACACACTTTCGTGGGTACCACTGTTACACGTTTTTGTGGGTACAAATGTTACGCGTATCACAATATTTTCGTGCTGTAGCCCACTGAAGCTAAATATCGACACAAGGTAACATGGATTGATGAAAAATGGGTGTTAACTAGAGCCCAGCTTTTTTCCACTGGTGGACAAGACAAAGCTGGGGATACGTAAGGTTACTCACATTGCTTTAAGCTTACGTCGCTTCCGTTTCCTCGCCGCTCGTCCAAAAGCTTGATATTTATGTCAAGCCTCCAAACGAGTAAGGAAGTTATGTACGCCCTGCCAATGCAATCAGTTCTCACATCGGCATCAGCAAAGACCATTTCAAGGCATACGGTGCGATTGAAAATCTGCGGAGTGTTGGTGGTGAGCTGGCGAGACCTGATAAAGGAAATCTGCCAATTTCTGCTGCTACTCCTCTCCGTCCTACGGAGAAACCATCTTCGACGCGCCCCTCCGACGTTCGGCGACGTCTCCTCTACTGACAACGCTCAGCATGTCCCGCATGGTGCGACCGTGACTTCGTGGGCGGGTGTGTCAGCCCTCTGACAACCCTCCCCCTCCCCCCAGGTGATGTCAAGTGCGAGCAGCTCGAGTGCTGCGCCGGCTGTAGCCTCAAGATCACGGATCGTTTCCTGCTGCGCATGATGGACGCCTCGTGGCACGAGGAGTGCCTCGTCTGCTCCGTCTGCCGCGTACGGCTCACCCAGTCCTGCTTCACCAAGGACAACAAGGTCTTCTGCAAGTACGACTATGAGAGGTACGGGCTGCCCGCCGGCGTCTCGCTGGGCTACAATGACAGGCCCAGCTATAAGCGATCATTTGAAACGAACTCAACTGGTTGCACAAATGTGCTGAACATGACCTTGAGCGACTTCGCAAGTTAGGGATTCGAATGCGCTTTTATTGGGAAGTCTACGTTTACATGATCATGATGAGAGAAACGTTGTCCTTGTTTGAAGTCGGTAGAAAGCTCTATGAAAAAAGTGCAATGCATCATTATTGTGCGGTGTGGGTTGTTGTAGGTTGTTGCCCAAGTAGACCATTTCCATCGCGCCAGAAAAATGTGGCGGTGGTAGTGACATTCAAGGTCGATATTTTGCAGGCCTCGAGTGTTTACAATTTTGCTTCCCTGAGTATTTTGTGCGTGCGATGCCTCTTCAAAAATTCTCAATCCGTAGAAAGATGGTAATTGTCTGTATATCGATTGACTCGAGACGTAGATAATAGCTGTTGACAATTGGCGCGTGCAATGACTGCAGAATAAAGTTGTAGCCAAGGAAAATCACCTCAGGTCTCCACCGTCAGTTGCAAAATTTTAAACGCTATTCGGCCGTTTTCAGTGTTCGTTATGATGCATTTGGAGATTTGCTTACATGAACGTGGTACAACAGTTGTTCGGCACATCAACAATGCATGTACATGTGCTCAAAAGCGTTTGACAGGGAAAGCGTGTTTAGATCCACGCAATTGACACCTTGGTAGATGTATTGTGCGATACATGCGATATATATATATATATATATATATATATATATATATATATATATATTTGAGGTGATGACGGCGCTGACGGTCTGACGGTCTGGCCCTGAAGCTGAGAGTACCCATCACTAAATACATTCCTATCTATCTGGTTATTTAGTGTCGGTATGCAACACTGCTCATTGTAAGATATCACTCATCGAACTCAATTGATCACATTGTTTGCAGTTGTAATAGAGATACCAGATGTGTATGTGCTGGTCACGGGTCGTGCTCACCGAATCAGAATGCGTTAGGAAACTGTCATTTGAGCGAGATCAGGTGGCGAATATGTGTGGGCGCCAAGTCCAAACACCTCGGATGTTGCAGAAAAGTATAATATCGACACAATTCTGGGAAAAAAATTATGCAATCGTCTGACTCGCGAGGGACACTCGCAGAGATGCTTCATAGTCTGAAAAATAATTGCATAATGTGCATTTATTCACACAAGCGTAAAGGTAGTTTATGCCGAGGCTTCCGCTATTTTCCCTTTCGGCTCTTCAGTATTCTGTCCCAAGGGTATACAAATAATATTTTATCCGATGGTTCCATGGAATCAAATACCAAGTGGGCGGATGCAAAATGACGACTCGGCACATGTCGACGACACGGCCGTGCTTCCGGAGAAAATGTTCACGGCTCTTTCGGTGTGCCTGACAACAAAAGATGGGCCTGCTCCCATCGTTTATCTAGCCGCTTCAAAGCTCCTCCAAACTAATCTGATCGTTCCCGTGGCTCATCCAACCGCCTCATAGCTCATCAAAGCTCGCCTCCAACTTCCTCCATCCTCATCGAAGTGAAAGGCGGTTTTCGTAGGAGTTTGGCGAAGGCTGTGCTACACATTAGTGGCACAGTTCATTTGTATAACTCCTATGCTCTTTTTGCTGTCACATAAGATAAGTATAGGACGGTTATGCGGATTGGTGACGGTATAAATAATTTCAAAGCATCTCTACATGTTTTAGCTAGTTATTTTATTAATGTATACACGCATTGGTATCCATTATGCTTACATAACTACCATTGACCATCATTATTTATACTTTTAGACTTGTATCTAGAAAGGTGGTTTTACATTTAATTTGTATTTGAACAGCTGCTTTTGATTGTGCTGACTTTGAACGCATCTTTTCAGTAGCATCCATGTCCATTGTTATTCGCCGTTAGTTTGGAAAAATTGTTGCGTGAGCAGCGCGCAGACTGCTGCTGCCACCTCCAAAACATTGTTTCCGTGGCAGCAGTTTGAACGCAGATTCAAAGCCCCTGCGCCCTCCTCCAAGCTAACCTTGTCTTCTATTATCATTGTTTTCGTGGTTTTTCATGGTTCATTTTTTCGTAAATCATGATGTACCTGCGATGTTTTTTTTTGCGCACAACGGTAAGCGAAAGTGTCAGATTGCTAAGGATAACACTAAATTCAGCTCATGTCCGCCCCTCAAAGATCCTCCCGCTTCGGTTGCGGTGCCGATCGTGATATCACCTGCTAGCAAAACAACTTTGGAGGTTATGGTCTACTGAAAACGCTTTTCCACTATGATCAGTCTGCTACATTGAAAAACGTGATTCCGTCAGCATTTCCTCTGATATGCGAGACTAAAATGTTGATACTGCTACATTTTGATTCAGCTACCTCTTAACGCTTTGATCAAAAGTCCTGCTATAGCTCTTGGTACGCATGTCATCGCCAGCGTGGCGTGTTGCACCTGGAATGATATAACCCTCTCCCATATGACCCCTGTCAAATTCAAAACTTTGAAGCTTGCGTTTAACTACTATTGTATAATGACTATATAAACTATTGCAGCGTCTTAGGAGCGAATGCCTGAGAAACTTGGCACGAGCGAGAAACGTTCAGCGTTAGTTTCTCGGTTCTGTTGCTGAAAACCATCGACCTCAAATTGAATAGTAGGCACAGGTTAAACCTAAGTATTGAACAATATTGTGATATGTTATCACCACACCCTTTCCTACCTTCTAAACTCAACTCCATTTCCGTTCTGAATGTGATTTTAACTGTTTTGCAAGGAACAATGGTCAGAGGTCTCATGGTATGCTGAAAGAGGGTCAAAAGCAGACTGTTATTACGGGACAATAATTTAAGAATCCGTGAATGAATCAGCGAGTGACTTAGGAAAAATAACTTACCTGTACGATCATTTAGCGCAGTTTTTCAAGGGGTTGTTTACTGTTGATCACTGCATCAGAGCTGACCATTTCATTACCTGCCGTCGATGTTTTGAAATGTTCACCATTCGCCGCCTTGGGATCCGACGTGTTGAATTCATCTCTGGTTGACGCATATCAGGAACAGAAATGGCTCACTTTTGTAAAGTGTTTCACCGTGCTTGGGCTGCTTCTTGGCACGCAACGTTTAGTCTTGCCTATTGTTAGCCTCTGAATGGATCGCGAGTTGAACAAACAGCTCTTTTCTGCACATCACTCTCTTGTGGTGATGGAGGACATGACGCTGGTCCAAATGTTAGACCCACTGTAGATGATTCGACAACACTAGTCCTCAGACAGCCGTGAACATCTCTAAGTGCATCCGCGATGTCTCGGCGCGTCCGCAATTTCTTCACGCAGCAAGGAAGCTTTCAGTTTGCTTGCCTGCCTCTGGATCCGTCAGTACGTCGTGTCGGCATAGACGAGCTGGAAAGCTATGAACTTATGACACAGTTCCCTGTTTGCAGTTGATGAGAAAAAAACAAGCGTTTTCTGACAGTGACAAAGACGGGCTAAATTTGAGAAAAAGTTTTGAGAAAAAAAAGAGTTCAGTTGCGCCTGTTTTTAGCAAGAAGTTTAGAGCCTAAGATTACGAATTAGTTCATTTCTTGGAATATGTTACAAGCATTTTTGTAATATTGCGCTTTCATAACTTGATGCATGGTTGAGCTAGTACTTCCTGCTTATGTGTTATGCTGGATAAAGGTCGGCTATTTTCATCCAAAGATCCACTGGTAACTGACAAAATAAAGACACTATTGGTGAATTGAATGAAACTCTGTAATCTTTTACAGCTTGCTTCAAAAAAGGCTTTTCGTTTATTACGATTCTTTAGATTGTGGCCATGCATGTTGTGTAAAACAATAAGCTTCTTGATGAGCATTTTACAAAAGAAACATATCTGTTCCTGGCTGGTCACTCATGGTCCCACGTCGTTCCCCGCCACAAGAGGCGTCCAAATGGTTATTGCTGTACCACGGTGATGTGTCCCGCTTGATTTGCATCTTGATTGTGTGTGCTTGATTTGCTTGATTGTGTGTGTAACATCTGTTTTTATGAATGTGATAGAAAGACACAGTAAATAGGACTCAATGCAATGGGATAAAGAGAACAGCATTCCGACATCTTGTACGGCGTGGGACGGCCTTACGACCACTGGTCGACAGCATAGTTCATGTCCGAACAAAAGTTAAGTACAAAGATCTCTTGGCCTTGCTCCGCGGTCGGCGCCTGAAGCAGGGCCGCGGAGCGAGACACACATTCAGAATGTTGGGCGAAAATATAAATTCATGGAGTGGAGCCTCGAGCTTGTACCACGGTTACATAATCTTGTTATTTCTATGTAATTTACTATAATACGAACAAACATTATGTAACGGACTTGCAGTTGTTTTAGCATGATAGCCCCTTCTGGCTGTGGCATAGCCAAGAGGGCATGGCCCCCCGAGAGGTAGCCTCCCTGGGGCCAAAGGTCTCCGTGCTTTTAGCCTACTGAAGACATCCGCAAGGTTTCTAAGACGTTAAACATGGATTCTCAAAACATGAAGATGGAATTCAGAGCCTTAAAAAGTATTTTGAATTCAAGAGCAGGCTCCCTATAGCGATAAAGTCGGCCCCCTGAACCGGAAATCCCTTGAAGGCTTCGATTTGGCTCCCTGTCGGGCGAAATTATGGCTTCGCCGATACCTTAGGGACACTCCTTCTACCGCCTGTTCAATAGCTGTTTTTTTAAGATATTATCCATTTCTCACGGTTGATGTTCTAATGGGAACTTTGCACCGGAAGTGCAGAGGAATACTTACGAAAGTAAGTGTTCCTTTGAAAGTAAGTGGAAGTGTTGTAGAGTACGAGACGGACATATTTCGTTTGGATGAATGCGATTCAAATCAGGCGGCATCCAGATCGAATACAAATCCGAAATTTGATTTCAAGGTTGATCCCATCATAGAAAGTGTTTTGCTGGAGCGAAAACAAATATTAAGGATTTTTCCTCGCAACAAATGTTTCAAAAACATTGCATTCAACACAGCCTGATTTTGGACGACTGGATCTAGCGGTGCGTTATGGAAATCCATCTTCCCATAGCATACCAAGGCTCAGTATGTGAGAACAGTGAAACCCCTCTTAATACACCTGACCTACGACACATGTGATCATCGGGCGCCTGACCGCGACATGTCATTGGCATGAGCTCCACAAAGGCATCATCTGCTTGCGATCATGATGGTTTCCAAATTTTATAGAAGGCGAGAAAGCTTCTTAAACTGAAGTACTGAACATTTGACAGCATCTTGTGTTCAGTTTTCCCAAGCCATTAAAAAAAGTGAGCTGCGCAGAGTCCCATTCCCATTAGGGGGGGCCAAGAAAGATCAGAATTAAGGGGGCCAACTTCAATCGAATGACCTGGTCAGTAAATGAATTCCCAATGGTTTACGTTTTCGGTGCCTGGGTGAAGTATGGCATAGTCCGTGTTTGGTAAGGGTGGCAAGAGCGTTGCACAGTTTTGAAGATGAAACTAAGCCACTGGCCAAGCAGAGCTAGGCTTGATTTTTCGATGATTCATGGAGGGTTGGAAAACATGAAGCTCGGCCATTTAGGTGGTCAGGGGACTGCTATAATTTTATGTTCAGTGCTTTATGGGAATCGACTCGGGCTTGGTAAGTCGGATGGAGAACTGTTAGAGTACTACATGTATGCAGTGTTGACGTATCGTAGAGAAATGGGGAGGGCAGAAGGAACAACTTCGCCTTTGGTCTAAGTAACGGAGAATTGTGCGTTTTCCCGCAATATTCTGAAACAACCATTCCAGAAGGTCGCAAAGGGACCTTCTGATTACAGCTTAGGACACCACTGCATTGGAACAATTTACCGAAACGTAAGTTCCCTCTAAAGGCACCTTTAAAGGAGCGGTGCGAGAGATCGGGAAAGCTTCAAAGCCGTATACTCTATCCTAAATTGGAAAACGTCGCCACTGCTTACAAAGCCAGAGCTGGGTCACCATGACGGAAATGAAAGCGAAATTCAGCCGGTATGATGTTACACGCTCCTGTTACATGTTCCGTAGGAAATATTCAATGGCCCCCACACATTTAAATCACACGGATGCGTGCGAGCAAACGGTGGGTCGAATGCAAGCGAACACAGCAGAGTTTTCTGACCTGTTGGCGTGACGTAAGGCGTGCACTGTTGTTACTCGACGGATGATGGCCGCAAGCCCACATCGACGCTTATCTGACAGCTGCACGATATGAGTGCCAGTTCGCAATGACAAATGGCCCAATGATTGTTCACACTCTGACAGAGTATTGGGTCTCGTGAAGATATGTGATGAAAAGATGATGCGGAAAAAGATCCAGTTTAGACCCTCCCCATACACGACTTAGTCACGTGTCAGTACACCATTTAGTAGGCAAGCTTCCGACTGGTTTCATCATCACTGGTTTTAACATTCACAACTGAGAAAAGTTTATCTGTGTGTTCTCATACTCGATAAGCCGTGCCAACACCGCGAACCTGATCGATTTCTTCGCCTGACACGGCTGTACCTGACACTGACCGTCGCCGCCGCCCGACAGACTGTATCTGGTCAAGTGCTCCGGCTGTGGCGAACGGGCGCTGCCGCACGATCTGGTGATGCGCGCACAGACTCAGGTCTACCACATGCAGTGCTTCGTCTGCGTCGTTTGCTGCCAACTGCTGCAGAAGGGCGACCAGTTCGTACTGCGCCAGGGCCAGCTACTCTGCCGCGCCGACTACGAGAAGGAGATGTTCATGCTGCAGCAGACGCAGGGAGACTTCTGGGACACCGGTATTCCAGGTGCGCTGAACCGACGTCTGTCCTGCAGTGTGCTCGTTTTCGGCCTATGCTCCGTCAAGGAGTCCAAAGATTGTCCGTTTGAAAAAAGTCCGCCAAAAGCTTTAATATTGAGGCAAGTGCGCCTTTGTCGCAGGTTTTAACGCTGCGATTCCTGTCGTTGGTAAAACGGTGAAACCAAAGCATGGCTTGCAGTCCACATCGAAAATAGGCTTTGTGGTACGTCATGAGGTACGCACATCGCAGCTATCGAGTTCCCCACATCCGCTCCGGCCCCGACCCGCTGCTCTCCTCGACCCCCTGTGTCATCCGATGCTACCACACTGACTACAGGGCACGGCGTCCGCATCGCCTCGCCGTGTGCCCGTGCCCCTGCTGACGGCAGCCGGCCGCCTGCCGCAGGTCTGGAGCTGGGGGACGAGCCGGGCCGGCCGAGGGACGGCCGCCGCGGCCCTAAGCGGCCGCGCACCATCCTCACCTCGGCGCAGCGACGCCAGTTCAAGGCCTCGTTCGAGATCAGCCCCAAGCCCTGCAGGAAGGTGCGGTCCGACGGCGCGTGGTCGGTGCCGAGCGGGCCGGCAGGGATGGCAGGTCGGGCTGCGAGCGGACCGGCGGGGATGACGGGTCGGGCTGCGAGCAGACCGGCGGGGATGACGGGTCGGGCTGCGAGCAGACCGGCGGGGATGACGGGTCAGGCTGCGAACAGAACGGCGGGGATGACGGGTCAGGCTGTGGATAGACTGGCGTGGATGACGGGTCGGGCTGCGAGCAGACCGGCGGGGGTGGTGGGTCAGGCTGCGAGCAGACCGGCGGGGATGGCGGGTCAGGCTGCGAGTAGACCGGCGGGGATGGCGGGGTCAGGCTGCGGAGACTCGGGGCTCGTTAATGTGACGAGTTTGGAGCGGCGGATGCACGTGTTCCGTGCTGAGGTCTACTTTTGGCTATTTGGTTGTAATCTTCTCGTTAGCACTCAGATGATGAAACAGCTTGCATATTGGCCCGGTTGTGATGATAATGATTGGGCTCTCCATCTCATCGACTGCTAGGATCATCATCAGATGGCAAGTCTTTATGAGGCCCTATGTGGGATGCGGGGGTGGCGCGGCAGGGGCCCCGCACTCAGGGCCGACAAGTCCGGAACCAAGCGTCTGGGAATCCAGAGGTACGGGGTTCGAAACCCCGCGGTGCCCGCCCTTCCTGCCAGGGTAAGAGGCATGCGACGCCATATAGCTTCAGCAGCTGAGTGCGTCGTAAAGCCCCAATCACACACACACACGGAACCGAGCGTCCTAATCACTACATTACCACCGCCCCCAGGCACGGATCTGACGGTTGTTTTCAAAAGCTGCTGTATTATCTTTATCGGGTCATCCACTGAAATTCGTAATTTTCGTGGACATGAATAGGCGCATAGTTTGCGTTTGACCTGTGTGTGTTAGAGTAAATACAGTTTTGCCTGGTCATTTTGGATGAGGAGATAAACATTACGAGAATGTATTCATTAAATGCACTCGCGATGAAATTATTTGCGAGGAATACTTTATGTTAAAACCATAAAACCATTTGTTCAACAACACACTGCTCAGCATGGAAATTTTTCGACGTTTATCCGGGCTATTGCGTCGTTGGAATCAAATCCTAATCCGTTCAAACATCGGCAAAGCGGCGTCAACGTAAATTGTCTCCTGACCGAAGGCGGTCTGAATTTTGTTCGACCCGAACCAGGGGCAGTGTCATGGGACAAGAGACATTCCACTTGGCTGTGGGACCGGCGGATGTTAATCCCAGGCTTTGCGCGCGAGTTTGGAAAAGATGGAGCAGCGTCACCGTCTTTCACATTCACGAAAACCGAGGGTGCTGAAACCGAAGAAAAACTCATAGTTCAGCCCCAACTAGGGACATAGATTCCTAAAATGAGTTAAGTGGAGGGGGCTGGACAAACAAAAATGATGCAAACCACCAACAAAATTACCTCAACAAACAAGCTTCTCCTCGACTTCTGGTCCACTTTTTCCAAATTTGGGACTGCAACCCAAGTTGGGGGAGGGGAGAGGGTAGGGATGGAGTCCTCCTGCCATGCAACTGAATGGCAAACTACACTCTTGGTTCTAACTATGTGGTTTGTGTCTGTCTCTGAACAGTGACCAGCACCAGACCTTTCTAACCGGGGTGGTTGAATCATTCTGCTGCATCAGGCGTCTTAAGTTATTTAGCACAGGACTCGGGGCCGTGGGGCTAGGGGTTATGGCACTGCAACAGGGATAGTCATAAGTGAGCCGCCTCCTCGTGAACGTTAATCTTCATCTCTATGATTATGCACATAAATAATGCACCAAAAAAGGATCAATTTCATCACTTCTCAGAAGTTGCTGCTAATTGGTCATCGCGCCTTTGGAATCATGCAACAGCCTTACAGGCACTGCATGACAACTTTCAGTCAAAGTTCTGTAAGCTCATGCCAAGTTCTGGCCCCTTGATCCGTGCGAGATAGGCCGGTAATTTATATTACATTCACCATTACCGTCCACAGGCCGGGGTGACCAACCTTCCTCCTACCTGCGGCTATGTTGCATCAGGTGTCTGTTTTCCCTGCGGATGAAAAATAAGGTTTTATCATTAATCGCGACGAACTGCCAAAAAGAATACATCTGGCTGATACGAAACAACAGGTCAGCCACCGTTTCCTACCGATGGTCAAAAACGTAATATCCTAAGGACGCTGTGTGCTGGGAGAAAAATGTTAATTTAAAAGTGTCATGAACTTCGCTTGACTACCAGTTACTTGGAATCGATGTTGACGCTGCCTGTGGAGACAATGTATGACCGATCTCCACCTCAAGAGATTGGCCCAGGGGGTGACGTTGAGTCTTTTGATAGATGATAGATAGATAGATAGACAGAGTTGATAAATGATGCATGCTGTCATTCAATGAACGGAGAAGTTAGCAGCAGTTTTCTTAGCACCAGCGTTCTCTTTACGCTGTAATTATTCTGTGGAGTTTTGTCACAGTAATAAATTTTGGGCCCATTGGGAAATGAGTACCTTCTGGCGGCACTTCTATTTTAGCACCCTTTTGGTCCCCAGCGCTACGGCCCAAAACAAAGAGCAGCAATGCAAATGCGTCGGCTGTTTGGGACGCTTGCTTGGAAAAAGCTGTTCCATGCACTCCTAATGTTCTGTCCATCGTGTCGAAAATAAATTTGAACGTTTTTTGATGGCACAGTCCTCCTACACTGTGAGCGCAAACACTGGAAGCGATCACAAAACCTCCACAATGGTCTACGCTTCTCGCAATACTTTTGTAACAGTCACCAGGGACGGAGGTCAATAAAATTACTCCGTTTCAACACTACAACAACCAGGCTTATGCATGCTCATGACCGGTCAATATTGGAGCGTTGCACTTCGCGAAGTAGCGAGCAAATGCTCTATCAGTGGAATTCTTTGTGTCCTAATTTTTTATGAACGATGGACATTCTTAAAACATCGGAAGGACCCTTTTGATGGGCTCTGGCTCCATTCGCCCATATTTTGGTTTAATCTTTATAACGTCCACATCCGCTATACCCTCGCTCGTCCCATGCTAGAAAGGCACATGCCTTGGTGTTAGTGATTAGCAAGGCGTATGTGAGGAAAAGTCGTAATTCTATACGAAATTTCTAGGGTCTTGAAGGCAAATGCAGGAAAAACTCGCTGGACAGTCACAATTAAATGCACCTTATCTGGAGGCATGCGTGCATAGCTGATTTTCAACTTAAGAGATAACCTTGCTTCAACTAAAATATGGCCATTTCGTCCTTCCCCCAATTTTAAAACCCGAAAAGCGGATTTTCGTGTCAGCGGATCGACCTGAAGCCGGACGCATTAGTCGCGTAACAACCGCTGTCTCGCCTTCTAGATTCGCGAGGCGCTGGCCAAGGAGACAGGGCTGTCGGTGCGCGTAGTGCAAGTGTGGTTCCAGAACCAGAGGGCCAAGATGAAGAAGCTGCAGCGGCGTGCCAAGCAGCAGCAGGACGGCCAGGACAAGGAAAAGACCGACAAGAAGGACGGCGACGGCGATAAAAAGGCGGATACTGACTGTGAGTCCTCCACCCTTCCGCGCGGCTGGCCAGACGTCTGTGAGTCCTCCACCCTTCTGCGCGGCTGGCCAGACGTCTGTGAGTCCTCCACCCTTCCGCGCGGCAGGCCAGACGTCTGTGAGTCCTCCACCCTTCCGCGCGGCAGGCCAGACGTCTGTGAGTCCTCCATCCTTCCGCGCGGCTGGCCAGACGTCTGTGAGTCCTCCACCCTTCCGCGCGGCTGGCCAGACGTCTGTGAGTCCTCCACCCTTCCGCGCTGCTGGCCAGACGTCTGCCCTCGCGACACAGCTAAAATTCATTGAAATACGACGATGGGGTCTCGAGGACGACGTGTTTCTTGCTCGGGAGCTCTGAGAACAGCCGGTCTTGACGCTGTGAGAGCATCACATGGACTTCTATCGCATGAATGTTTAGCTGATTCTTTGCTATCGTTGCCAGCCCGACATTCACGACATTTTTATGAGTCATAAACAAAAAGGTATAAAATGGACGCATCCTCTTAAGTTTTAACACAGTGTGCCAGCACTGATTAATGCCTAGTCCCATGGTTGTCAGCCACGCAGCATGACCATCCAGCACATCCATGTAGTAGTCGACGCCTCTGCAGGGGTTTCTGCGCTTCATAGTTGCACACGTGTTCCAGATGCTGCCGACAGTCCGTACGGCTCCGGAACGCCCAGCGTTGGTCACCCTTACTCGCCGGACGGTGAGAACATTGGACCTTGTCGACAACGCGTTTACAAAATTGTCCCGTTTTTGATAACGCTAACTCAATATTATTATCAATATTTACCTCAAGATTTTTACCTTAGTAAGCTGAAAATTTTTCCGACTTCTTAATACCTGACATTGGATTGATGTCGATACAGCACAACTTAAAGACTTTATTGAAGTCATGAAAACGACTTAACGCTCTCACGCAGCCAAACCCAATCACAGTTGCAGCCCCGACAACGGTGGCCACCTATGCAGGATGGCCGTGAACTCAGACCTGCCGGAGAGAGACCCTAGCGGCTTCTGTCCAGTGACAGTTGGTTCGTATCTAGCGCTGTATGTGTCACAACCGTGCCACTGTGACTCGCTGAGAATCGTTCGGCCAAACCCGGTGTGCAATCCGAGACAGGCGCCTCATCGAGCGTCACGCACTGTCCCTGTCTCTGCCACATCGAGCGTCACGCACTGTCCCTATCTCTGCCATATCGAGTGTCACACACTGTCCCTGTCCCTGCCACATCGAGCGTCACACGCTGTCCCTGGCTCTGCCACATCGAGCGTCACACGCTGTCCCTGGCTCTGCCACATTGAGTGCCATACACCGTTCCCGTCTCTGCCACATCGAGCGTCACTTGCTTCCACTGTCTCTGTCACATCGAGCGTCACACACTGGCCCTGTCTCTATCACATAGAGCGTCATGCACTGGCCCTATCTTTGCCACATCGAGTGTGACGCACTGTCCCTGTCTCTGTCACATCAAGCGTCCCTGTCTCTGCCACATCGATTGTCACCCACTGTCATTGTCTCTGACACATCGAGTGTCACCCACTGTCCCTGTCTCTGCCGCATCGAGCGTCACACGCTGTCCCTGCCTCTGCCACAGCCCAGTCCAACGAGAGCTTCTGTGGTTCGGATGACGTCAGCCTCGAGGACACGGCCTCCTTCGAGAACATGGACGACAGCCATGCCGACCCCAACCTGTGAGTGGACGCTGGCGGCCGCGCCCAGCTCAGGGTGTGCTAAGGGTGCGCAAGCTTTGCGACAGTGCCTGGGGCTAAAACGATTTTTATTCACTTTAGGAGTCACTTTCGTGGTTGACTCTCTCATCGTAAACTAGCAGTTTTACATGAGTCAGCAACTCGTGTAACTTGACGACTTTACTTTACGACTAACAACTTTACGCAGCCAGCTTGAGTGCAAGTCATCAGAACCTAACTGCGCTTGCGAATTGCTGGCTGATACTTGTTCTCAGCCATGTGTTCGCTCTGCACTTTGAACGTTTTACGATTTTGGATCGGAAGCGTATTGGATCAGTTTTGCGACCGTAATAAATATGCCTCTTTGTTTCACAGAATGCAGACGTCTTCTGCACCACAACCACTAGACGTGATGCAGAACTACGGAAGCATAAACCCCATAGACAAGCTGTACCTGATGCAAAACTCGTATTTCACCGACCACTGAGCGCACCGGTCTAGCCATTCCTGCTGGCAGTTCACGAGTTTATATATAGGTGGCGCTGCTGTACAACGGCTCGAGCCGCAGTCACAACGGAGCCAATTCGATGGAAGCTGGTCATTCTTAAAGGTGATGACAGTGATTGTGATGACGGTGTTACTTGGGAGGTGAGTTCTCTGCCCTTGTCCTGCAGGCAAGACAGGACGTGCATTTGTGACCCGATGATCTAGCACTCGGCGATGGACGCTCCGCCCCGACGCTCAAAAAGGCCCCGAGTGCGCCCGCGGCCAATCACGCAGCCGTTCAGCTTGTGTATGGAGGGTATCTTCCGGAGATTAGCTGTGCGGCGAATGTAATGTAACCATCACATACCCAGTGCTAAAGAAACTACTCTGAGTTGGGGTGTGACCCCATTTACGCGGCAAGTTGCATGTGACATCGTAAGCCTCAGTGCACTAAGCGTATTTTTTCAACCAAATGTCTGCATCGTCCAGCATATGGTCGGCGACCGTAGGCATGGAATGCCACGGCGTAAATGTTTCCACCACAAGACGAGCACGTGATCGTGTATAGACCGCTTTGTGCGCGCACCGCACCCACTTACGTGGCTCATCTCGTGATGTTCCCGACGTGAAGTGGACTCGGGAGTAACAGGAGACCGACATTCCACTGCGTCCGGCCGCGGCTCACGCAAGACGGGAGCTGTCATCACCACTGGCGCGGTGTGGTGTAATCCACTTCCAGCAGCAGCACACCCCACGTGCAATCCCCTTCTCCCCCGCCGGTGGGCCCCGATCGCGCCCCGCTGTACAGATTGTGTGTACTTCAGTGGGTGTGAGTTCGCCACGAACGACGTGGACTGTCAACCTTTTGCATCCAGAATACAAAAAATGACGGCACGGGTGCTCGCTCCATATTGATGGCGGACTGCATCAAGCGGGGTACTGACCAGTTCATGTGAAGCGATCCTACCCACCACTGACGCTAGCACGCCTGAGCGTGCTCCTCGGCGTGTGCGCCGTTGCCGGCGACGAGCTCGAAACAGCACGACAGCAACTGCGCTGTGACAGCAGGAAACAAGAATGGCCAAATGTGACGAGAGACATGCATCAAGTTGCCCCGCCACGCCGCGTCACGTTTGGCAGTAATATTGCGCCCGCAGGACTTCCAACTCGGCGATCAGGCTTCTCCGCGCCGCTGGAATTGCTCATGCCGACCACCCACCTCATTCCTCGCCGCAATGCTCCAAGTGGCACAGCATTAAGTATATTTCAAAATGTTTAAAACACACATCAACACACGCACACTACACGCTGCCGACGGTACGCACAGCGCGGATAAAACACGGCGCGTCTGACCCGAACACGTCCAGCCTTTGTGGGTCACGTCCCGACGGACAGGGAAGACAGACTGGCAGCCAGCACACGCAGCGAGCAGTGCCGTCCCGGCGCGCCATGAGGGTACAATGCCGCTGCTAGATCTGGCGCTACGTGCGCGCACCCGTCCTCGAGCTTTGGCGCCGCTCTCGGTCTCGGGTCGGAGCACGCATGGCACGTGACTACACTACACGACGTATTATGTTCCGGCTGCAGCTTCGGGTGAAGCACATGTGCGCAGGCGCTGACATAAGCGCGGCTGCATGTTACAGCCCACGTTGGAATGTTAGAGAATCGTTCCACAGCTGCAGAAATACACGATTTCGAGCTCGATCAGACGCACAGTGTAAAAAGCACAACCGGGGCCGGACAAACAGCCTCAGAACTCAATGAGAAAGAGACCCTGCGCGCCCATTTCATCCAAATACAGTATACACCAAAAACATCAGCTTCTCCACCAGCCACCATTAAGTTGCATAAAACACGATCAGCTACACATGATATGGGCGTTAGTCTTCGCACACGTCACCCGTCGATCGGCCCGACGACAGAGGAACAGCCAGCACCACCAGCCGGAAGAGGGGGCGCCAACAGCCGCTACCCATGCCGGTCGGGCCGCGTCGCTCCGGCGGACCCTAAGGGCGGGCCGCAGGGCGTCGACCGAGCGACCCGCCCCGCCCGCCGCGGCCGGAGCCGCCGCCGCCCGTCCTAGATGGGCTTGTACAGCAGCGTGGTGACGTACTTCTTACGATAGCGGTGCGTGGCGCTGAGCACCATCACGCCGTCCTTAATGCTCAGCGCGTACAGATGGTTGAGCATGACGTGGTTGGGCGCAGGCAGCAACGTGGGCTCGCACGAGCTGGGCGTGTCCTTGTTGAGGATCACCTCCAACAGGTGCGGCGGCAGTGCCGGCGGCTGCGTCGGCTGCGCCGGCATCCACGGCTTGGGCTGCGGCAGCTCCTGGGAGTAGCAGCCGGGCGGCGAGCCGGACAGCTCGTGGCCAGCTGGCACCGTGTCCATGTTGAGCGCGTCGCAGGCCCTGAAGTCGTCGACGCGCACCGTGATGTAGTTGTTCTTGTCGCCGGACGGCGTGTCGACGGTGGGCTCGCTGGTGTCCACCACCCACTCGCCGTCGATGCGGAACTTGTACTCGTGTTGGCCCTCGGGCAGGTTGACGATGCTCATGTGCTCCGAGTCTAGGTGGCTCTCGCTGCGCGCCATCGGAATCGGCTTCCAGCCGGTGAAGCTGCCACACAGCTGCACGTCGCGGCCACCCTTGCGCCACTGGATGACGACGGGCAGACGGCGCGCGGCCGCCTGGCCGCCGTCGGCCGACGGCTCGGGGCTGGCTCGTGGTACGCCGATCGGCACCGAGCGCTGCGCGCTTAGCGGCGCGTGCTGCGCAGACGGCGGCGCCGTGCCTTCCACGCCGCTGGCGCGCCGCCCGCCAGACGGCAGCACCAGCGGCGACTCCTCCTGCGCCGACGAGTGGCGCCGTCGGTCGTGGTCGAAGCTGCCCCACAGAGCACCATTAGCAGGGGAGTGGGGACCGACCAGCCGAGGAGCACGCCGTCGGGGCGGGTTTGACAATGTGCTACACTTGGGATGCACCACAGGTAAACAGATGCACTACCTGGATACACTACCCTGTCCTGGCATGCATAGCCTTTAGAATTCAAGGGTTTTTGACTGATGATTAGTAGTATGCCCAAGACCAGTCCCTGCATAAAATAATTGGCTCCATTCATTGTGCATTTACTGAGTCTCACCATCACCACACAATCACAAGAGTGGTCAGGATTAATAAGTTTACTGCTCAGAGTGACAGAAATACCTTTAAAAATACAACCTTGCATTGCATGACACAACATATGCATGGGAGATGGATGCTGGAGCAGGCTGTGCTCACACAAATGGTGAGTCGCTGAGAGCGGCCCACAGGTGATGCTGAGCCACCAGGTGAGTCGCTGGAGCGGTGACGCTCCTGTTCTGTGCATTGCCCATCTTGACTGACCTGAAGTGTAAGTAAGCAGCAAAGATATCAGACATGCATTCTGATGTTGCATCCAGAGCAGGAAAGCAAACAGAATTTCATACAATTATGGCATAAAATCATATCTAATGACAATTTGCAACGATACAAACATTGCCTGTCAATGCACCACTAGACAGCATTCCACAACTTCATCCAATAGGATGCCTAGCTTACAAATACAAAGACATGATAAAAGATTACTGGATCTCTGGCAACATCTGTAGGCAATTGTTAGTGCAAATCTTTTTGACTCCAAAGCTAGACCTGTGCAGCCCATTTGTCAGGCCTAAGGCGCTTGAGCTAAAGATTACCTTGCTTAGACCAGAAAATTATAAATTATTCCAGAATGCCAAAGTTGACAAAATGACTCTGAATTTGATAACCATTTACAAATGAGTACACATTTTTAGTTAGATTTGATCTGATCTGCCCCAGATATGCTGGGGCCAGTTCACTTTCAGCTTGATGGAATGGTTGGAATGGAATTGGCACCCGGAGATGTCCAACCACAAGTACTCAATTCCCATACCTAAGCCACAGTTAAGATGCTGCAGACTACAAAGGTGTGCTGTGATGTCTGAGCCACTGACTTGTGTAACATGCAGGATGGCCAAGCAAAGGGGGCTGAAATTTCAATCTTTCCAATAGTTGTATTTCTTGGTGGGTTTATCCCAGCTGATTCTGGCCACCAGGCACCTTTGTTTTTGTTCACATCATTCAAGCATCACAAAAAAATACAGATCAAGAACCCCAGTGCCAGCCTGCATAAAACTCTATATACTATGTCACATGCCTACAATATATCAAAGCACTGAACTAAATCCATATCATTTTGGCATGGAGCAGAAAATCTATTTGGCATGGAGAGGAAAATCTATTCAGAGCAAATTTTTCCCACAATTCCCATGCAGCATCATGCTATGAGACTTGGGCTTTGGGCTTGAGACTTGGGCTTTGGAGTGTACCAACTATGTTGGTCATATGGTGCCCATAATGTGCAGGCACTTGAATTATAGTAATTATTCTGACTCAATGAAATTATATCCCACTCAATGATAAGAAGCACTTTAAGTGATCATCAGGAAACCCTGTATCAGGGAAAAACACCATTTCGGGGGCCATGCTGCCAACTGCCACATTTATATGCAAAGATAAATATCTCACCGCACTCCTCTTCACTTGACACAGGCAAGTAAATAATGAGGGGCCAAGTGCAACTATTCTTGCAAAAATCCTGAAATTTGAACCAAGTTCCTGCAAAATCCCCAGTCCTTAGTGTAAAGGTGCGGAGCACAGACCGTTGGTCATCCAAAGCGTCCCTGATTTGACGTCTATCATGGACAAGGAACACATCATTGACCGCCTAAAATCAAACTTACCTCCCCGGTACAATGACAGGAAAATACCGAAGACGCGCAGGGCACCTCCCCCCAACTTTCACAGCTCGTTTGGGTATGACCCAAGCGCAACACAATGAGTCACCTCGCCGACTCTCCAGCGGCTCCAACCCCCTAATTACTTCCAGCTGCGACGCAATACAAACATGTCCTAGAGAATATTTAGTACCAATTCTGCTCAAGAGGGGACAGTTGCTTAGTAGTGATTGGTACAACATGCCAGAGGTTAGCATGCAGTGATACTGCAGCAGCGCAGGCGGGTAGTTCAAGGCTCAAGCCAGGGGCGTATCCAAGATTTCATCCAAGGGGAGGGGGGCAGACAAATAGTGCGCCCCTAGAAGTTTGAAGGGCCCGCTCCAAAAACATGGACCTTGCAATTTCGGTCATCATACATTTTAAGACAAAATGGGTTGCGTAACACATACACGCATGTGTATAGATAATAGATATAGATATAGGATATAGATAGATATAAATATAGATAGATGTAGAAGATAGATAAGATATATAGATATAGAATAGATATAGATAGAGTATAGATAGATATAGATATGATTATAGATATAGATATAATAATTAGAATAGTAGATAGATATAGATAGAATATATATATATATATATATATATATATATATATATATATATATATATATATATATATATATATGCCTAGCCTAACCTAACCTAACCTAACCTAACCTTGGAGCTTTCGCTATATATATATATATATATAATATAATATATATATATATATATATATATATATATATATATTATATATATATGTGTTGTGTGTGTGTGTGTGTGTGTGTGTGTGTGTGTGTGTGTGTGTGTGTGTGTGTGTGTGAGTGTGTGTGCGTGTACATATATTTATAGATGTACACACATATACATGCATGATAAAACACGAAAACCCATGTTACCGTGCGCAACCCTATAAAGCTAGGCGTGCTACGTATGTACATATATGCAGCCCATTCGTTTTTTGCAGCTCACGTTAATCCTGCGATTTCGAGGCGAATGAATCGGCACAAAAGGCAAAATAAACTCGAATTGCCTGCTCAGAACCATCAAATGGAACATGGGCTTGATTCCTAGTTTATTTACGGCTAGCCGGCTGGTCGATGTAATCACCTGATGGTTGACGCCTTATGCGGGAGTTTTGCTTCGCTCTAAAGGAGTAAAAAATATCCTAGCATTCAAAATATGTTAAGAACGTGATGTACTAGGACAATAAGTGTCACACACTCAATTGCCAAGGGAAAAGACACATACGACGTTGGCGGTAGGTAAAATTACGTTCGACGGTGACGCGTAAAAATTCGTCGGTGCAAATCCGACTGCTACCCTAAGGCTTAGGCACCAAGGATCTAAGCGATCATGGATGGGTGCCACAGGAAGCCAACAAAGAGGCTCCCGTAAACAAGTACAGGGTCCTCTGAAGGGTCCTCTGCGAATGAGATAAAAGAGATAGAGCCCTCGCTCAAAGAGAGGACCCCTGAGCATCGAGTATCTCGTTGTTTTGCCTTACATGAGCCCAAGCAACAGCACAAGGCCCCCGAGCAAGTGGAAAGAACCCAATATCAATATCATGGGCCTCTGAGCAACTGATTGCGCCCATGACACATGCGGCCCCGGGAGGAAGACCTGATCGATCAAGAGTGCCCAGCATGGAAGCAGCTGACGTCCAACAGCAGCGTTGGGCCCTACGAGGAAGGCGAAGAGATCAAAGGCAACGTGGAAAGCTCCTTAGCGATCACATTATCACATTGACCCGCAAGTGGACACGTATGGCCTGGACAACAGAGTTATGCCTGTGAACAGTGCAATAAGCCTAAACATTTCCCTCAATCAACACGTTTCCAATTAGCGAATAATTCACTTTGTCTGCTTATGAGCTCTTTACTTTTGCTAGCAGCCGTTCTTGGTCGTCTGTAGGCCCAAAGACGTCCAATTTTGTTTTGTTTTGTTTTTCTTTGGTAGAAAGAGTGTGCGTTCGGCTGGTTATCGGCCCCTTCGGAGCCTATAGGTTCCCTCGGCGTAGTCCATGGGGGCAAAGTCCTATGCCCTTCCCCTCCTCTCCCCTCTGTATCCGGAACCGGCCCCAGCAGCTTGAAAGATGGGGCTCGGCAAGAACATAGGGCCATTCGTTTGAACAAGACGTACCCAAGGCACAGCATGGAGAGCCCCGGAATGACTGAACGTGCCCGAGCGGGTTAACAGATGGGGGCCCCCGACAAGAGCGCAGGTCCCTCCATTCAAACAAGAAATACTCACGACACAATGCGGAGGACCCCTGAACGATCAAGTGTGCCGGAGCAGGTTAACATAAAGGGCCCCGTCAAGAGCATAGAGGCCTCCATTCAAGTGGGAAGCACCCAAGACTCAATGTAAATGGCCCCTGAACGATTAAGCGTGCCCGAGCTGGTTGACAGATGCGGTCCGGTCAAAAGCGTAGGGCCCTCAAAAGCCAATAGGAAGTACCCAAGACTGAGTGTGATGGGCCCCTCGAACGATCAAGTGTGCCCGAGCAGCTTAATAGCTGGGGCCCCTGATAAGGGCGCATGGCCCTACAAAGAAATTGGAAGTATCCAAAACCCAATGTGTAGGGACCCGAAAGATCGAGCGTGCCCAAGGTGAGGTAAACAGATGACGCAGTTCCCCCCGAAAAAAAAAACACGAGGCCCTCCATTGACATAAAAAGTGACGAAGATCCAATGTGGAGGACCCCCCAAACATTCGAGTGTGACCGGGCAGGTCAACAGATGGAGCCCGACAAGAGCGTAGAGCCCTCCGCATGTTGGCAGGGATCTGAAAAGGTCCCAAGACCAATGTAGAGGGCCCATGAGCATATTGCGAATGTGCCGGTAGGGTTAACCGAAACCAACGTGAAGGACCCCTGAGCGACCTAGATTATCCCGGCAGTTCAACATATGAGGCCCTGGATGTAGCGTGTGGACCCTACCGGACAAATGGGCAGAATCCGTGGGAAGCTCCTGACAAAAGCGTCCCGGCCTGTCGGCAGAAAAGGCCCCAACAACAGCGTGGTACCCTCAAGGCAAATGTAACAAACTCAGGGGCAACATGAAAGGCTGCTACCCATTGGATTTACGTTGCAAGTGCACATATATGGCACCCAGGAACAGCGTAGGACTTCTGAATAGCTGAATAGCGCAATGAGCCTTGAAATTTCTGTCACCACCTTTCCAATCAGAGAAAAATCATTTTTGCATGGTCATGAGCCTCTCACTTTCGCTTGCCTACTCGGCCGGCTATGGGTCCTTTCGAGGTCATAGGGGGAGGGGGGGGGGGCAATAGCCCAATGGCCTCTCTATGGATCAGGTCATGGTGACCTGAAAGCTTATGTGCTGAGAACAGTCTTGATCAGCCGTCTCATCTGAAACAAGTATTTGTCTTTTCTTGTACAGCGTGCAGCAAAGCAAGAGGCCCGGGGATCTGGGACCACTTCTCAGTCCCAGATTTTTCGTTTTTCACCATAGTGAGTTCCAGACAGAAAGCTATAAATCACCGTTATACGTATTTATCGGGTTCCGGGCCGATACCTTGAAAAAATTCTGTCTACGTCTAGGCTTTCTTGGACATG